GGAGTGGCTAAACTCCATCTTGTTCTATGCAATGTTCCTTCTCAACACCCAGAAGGCTGAGGGGAATAAGATTTCCTGCTCTGGGATACAGGATAATCAGGGGGAAGCAGTCAGAATGGTGACATTCGCGGGTCCTAAAGAAAGGCAGGGCCCCATGGAAGCAGTATAACCCCTACATGTAGATTTATGGGCTTCAGGAAGACAGGAAGACTCCAGGAGAGAAAAATGGCTGTGATGTGTCTTGGCAGCCAAGGCCTTATCCAGCCTCACAAAGAATATCTACACCAGGTTGGCTGAGAACGTCCAGAGTGGCTTGGGAGAAACAGACAAGTTTCTGACAGAGCCATTCATGTGGCAATGAGGTGTCTCTATGGAGCCTATATGGACTGATATCCAAAGACCCCAGGGGGTGAGGAGTGTCTCAGGAACCACCCCCACAAGGGCATTGGAGAGCAGATAACTGCCAGCCCCCTTCTCTCAGTCATCCCTGATGCCTTGGTGCTACATAAATCTCATGGAACTTCAACAGCTTGGGGGAGCGAGATGCAGGAGTGAAAACTTCAAGGGACTGAGATACAATTTTGCATCCACAGCAAATTGGGAGGTCAAAACTGAAAGCAAGTTGAGTTTGGGAAAAATATAGAAAATTATCATTCATGCACACCTGAATCTGTGAAGCTAGACTTGTATACCAGTCCTAGTGAAGTATGGATTCATCAAAAGAACTCAGAAGAATCTTATGGGAACAAAATCCGGAGGTACACCTGAGCTTTGCGGGGATGAGAAAACCAGGAGCAGTTGCTGCCTGTGGCTTTGACTGTCCCTTCTAATCAGCTTTTTCTCTGGGCCATGGGGCCAATCTCCTGTCTGTAAAGACTGAGACAGAGGCACACGGCTTTCTCTTCTGACTCATAGTCCCTCTTCCTCCATAACTTCAGTGAACATGGGTCTTTGGTTGGTGCTCACTAAGGAGCCATGTCCTTGTGAACCACTGGCCCTGTGGCTGCCACAAAATCATTGCATTCATAGTGCCTCTTGGTTGAAACGTTCTCGTTTGCCAGGGTAATGCCCTTTTGATCAGGAACCCACCTGGTTCAATTCTGCAGGGTCAGAAGGTGAGGAGTCAGGTAAATCAGACATGACTGCTCAAAGCAGTCACATCGTCAAAGGTATATAGGTTGGAAAGTGTCAGAGAAGAGGGTCTTGGTCCCAGAGGCTTTGCCCAGTCTCGAACTCCCCCGTGTTAAAATTACTGCTGTACATGTCTTGTACACCTCTTTACCTTGTAACGTTCTTGAAAGTAGAAGCTCTAATTCATTCGTTTGCGCCATGATATCTTTGTGTGCCTTCTGCATCTGGGAGGGTTCAGCGAGCACCTGCTGAATGAGTGCACATCTCTCTAGTCTTACACCTTCGTATCTCTGTATTCCTTTTCTGTTCTCTATACCTTTATTTCTGAGCGAACAGCATTCTGGTTAAAAACCAAATAGAATAATTCTGGTTGCTGAGATGTCACAGGTGAGGGCCAGCCAAAATGATTAGACTTGAGTATGACCCTGCTGCATGTGCATTTCCTGATGAGACACTCTTAGGAAACATCCTGAGGTCACCATGGTTACAGTTGGGCTTTCCCTAACAACCGAGCATCTTAGTTCCTCATCATTTTAGAGCTGTCTTAACCGCTATGGAAATTAGCTAGAGACCACATTCAATCTTTGAAGCATTTAAGTGATAGATTACAACTAATTTAAAGAAGAGGAGCGAGTGGCACTCTACAGGGAGATAATTCCTAGTCCCTTTTTGACACTTGGAACGATCTTTCTAAATTAAAAGCTTCAAGTTTATTAGTAATCATCCCCTCGGTTTGAGTCAAGAAATGAAACTATTTCAAGTTTCTCTGTGTGCTAATTAAAAGAGCTCTGTTTAAATGGCAGAGCTGTCCCGATGCCAATGATGATAAAAGAGAATCATAAAGTTTTGAGCCTAGAGGGAGTTTACAGATCATTTAATCCAATCCTTTCATTTTATAGGGGAGGAAATTGAAGCCGCTATAAGGTATGTGACTTGTCACACAGGTAGAGCCCAAGCTATAACTCCCAACCACCTGGTCCAGGGTTCTTCATCCTCAAGAAGATCAGAACTACTATGGGCAGTGGGGTGAAGCCAGAAATTACTATCATGGGGTGATTTGTGATTTATAATAAGAAATATATATTTTGTCTTAATTTTTTGTTTGTCTTAAAACCCTTGGAAGTTCCTAGGTGATGAGAAGGATAAAAAGTGTCTCTTTTGTTATGTTACTGAAGCTTTTTGGAAAGCCCCAGGTAACCTTAAAGATGGAGGCTCCTTGCCCAGGGAACCAATCCTGTGATTAGAAGGTAGGAACTTTCAGTCCCATTCCCAGACCCCCAAGGAGGGGAGAGGGGCTAGAGATTGAGCTCAATAACTAATGGCCAATGATTTAATCAGTCGTGCTTATGTAATGATGCCTCCATGGAAACCCAAAAGGAAGGGGTTTGGAGAGTTTCCAGGTTGGTGAACTGGAATGTTTCCATGTGCCACTGGGCCAGGCCCCAAACTGCATGAGAACAGAAGTTCCTTTGTTTTTGACCTTGCCCTATATATCTCTTCACCTGGCTGTTGGTTCCGATAACAAGTTTCAAGTTCAAGTTGACTCCTACAAGTTGATTCAAGTTTTTTCTGCGTAGCTGGGGTGCAGGGGCCCAAGAGCGGCTGGCTCCAGGGGTCCCAAACAGACGGGGTTCAACCACTCACCACTGATAAAATCCGAAGGCAGAGAGGCCAGCAGTGGTGAAACAAGAAAGGAATTTATTTCCATCAGGCTAACACTGGGAAGGAGAACTAGAGACCCAAAGACTATCTCCAAAGTGCTGAAAAAGCTTCCAGGTTTATGTAAGGAAAATGTGGGGCAAAGGTCAGTGGGTCCGTGCAGGTGGGCTGTATGTCTCTCAGGGATGCTCAGAAACTGGCTAGAGAAATCCATGGGCCTGACTGAGCTCCCTGGTAAAATGAGAGTGCCCAGTGATTTCTTACCATGGACCAGGCACCGTGCTCAACAAGAAATCCTCATGAGCTAGCTAAACCACACAACCCACGATAGGATCAGCATTTTCTTCATTTTACGGACCAGGGGACCCAAGCTAAGACAAATGAAAGATTTGCCCAAGGTCACATACCAAAGTCACTAACTAGTACCCAAGCTGGCATTTGCACTCAGATCTCCTAAGGTACCCTACCTGTGTTCTTAACCAGAGGTGATATTTGAGTAGAGCCTTTTGGGGCACACCGATGAATAGTCTGGGGCCTCTCGGGGGAATTTTGTTCTGCACTGCCCATGTGTTAAACTTATGTGAGTACCTGAGGCTGTCAGGAGAAATTCTGCATGTCTATATCAGCCTGAGCTGAACCGGCCCTTCAGCCCTGGGCTGATTTATATGAGAAGCTACCCCTCCAACTTGGGTAGAACGGATCCTGCCAGGGGTGGGGGCCAGGGAGAGGCCTGAAGTAGAGAACAGTTCCCTTAGAGAAGTAGGGTGAGGCTGCCAGGAGACTGGAGGGCTGCTGAGCAGGAGAAACATGTCTGTTCAAGAGCAAAACAAATTACAGATTGTCTGCTGACGAAAAGGTCAAAATTGGATTCCACGCTGTAAAAAGGAAAAAAAAAAACAAAAAACAACCCTTCATTACAGAACTAAAAAAGGAAAGGAAGGGGATATGAAGTCATCCTTAATTTGATTAGGAACAAAATATCACCAGCATCGATGGCCTCTGTGGCACATTCGTTAGCATTTTGTCAGACTTCTTAGTTGCAGAGAACACAGCCAGGGAAGCGCAGCACCCAGGGAAGTTGATCTAGAAGGCCCCTGCTTTTATTGGTCAAGCCCTGTTCTCGGCAGATTCTGCTCAAGTCCGTTTTACCAGAAACCTCACACCTGGGCGGAGGCTTTTCCTCTCTATGAGCATGTGCCCCAAATCAGAAGGGGAGAGTTTCTGCCCAGGACTCTTGGGCCTTGATTAATCCCTCTGATAGTGGCTCCAAAAATTTCAATGAAATAACTTGACGGGCCGTCCTTTAACATTCATACAAATGAGGCTCACATTTGATAAGCAATGATTATGTCCTCTTATCGCCTCCCACTCTCAGTCGTTCGGCCCACACGTTTGCTTGAGCCAGCGCAGCAGGTATACATTGAAGACACAGCAGTAAGCGGAACGCGCCCCCTGTCCTTCTGGAGCTCAGGCGGGTCAGGGGAACCGTCTGGCTCACGGCTGGTGTGACAGTCCCACCTCCTTAACTACCAATTCCCCTAGCCTCCCTTTGTCACCACCTCCTGCTTGCACATTTCACCCCGCCGTAGTGGTCGCCCGGCTGGGGGGTGGGGGTGGGGGGGAGCACGCGCCCTCAGCCCGCGACGACTGCATGGACGCAGGGCCCCCGCACCAGCCCCGTTCGGTTTCGCCAGCGGCCTGGGAGAAGGTCGGGCCGGGCCTGTCGCTGATGGGGCGCAACAGCTGCAGGTCGCAAATGGCGCTCCCCGCCCCGGCCCAGCCCCCGCGCTGGCTGGGGGCGGCG